CATTAAAACAACCACACTAATAAGTAATAAGTTACTTAAGTCTACTGTCTAAGGGCTGTTAACTTTTCCACAAGTTTCCCCAAAGGTTTATTTTCAAATTAGTATTCACTTTGCAAGATATCAGAATTACTGGCTAGTCATAGTTAGGGATACATGTTCAATAGTAATTTCAATAAACTGAGTTTTTCAGAGAACAGCGCTGCTCACTGAAGTGACTTTACTGCTGTCTCCTACCCAAAAGCTTCTACAAACTTCTAATTTACACTTACCATTTAAAACCTGAATGATGAACATGAACACATTTGGATGTGTTATGCACAAACACTAAATGTGCCTTTGGGTGTTTCCAGCAACAAAGTATGGCAGCGGAACATACTTCGCCAAAGAGGCCTACTACTCGTGCCACGACGCCTACTCCAACCCTGACGAGAACGGTCATAAGTACATCTACAGGGCCCGCGTCCTCACGGGGAAGCCCTGCCTGGGACAGCACAGGATGAAGGAGCCCGCTCCCATCAACCCCAGTGACCACCAGGCAGGCCTGCACGACTGCGCCGTGGACAACCTGCAGAACCCCTTCATCTTCGTCATATTCTGCGATGCCGGCGCCTATCCCGATTACCTCATCACGTTCAAGACGGTCTGACGAACAGAGCCACCAGAAAGAAGACATCACTGTGATGCTGCAATACTAGAAATGAATCAAATGTGCCTTAAAATGAATCAAATGTGCCTTAAAGGTGCCTTAAAAATGTTTTTTACATTGTTCTAATATACACTACCAGTCAAAAGTTTAGACACAACTTTTATTCTTACTATTTATTCTTACTATTTTCCAACATTTAAAAAAACTATGGAATAACACAAATGGAATTATGCAGTTTTAAACAAATCAAAACTATCTTATATTTTACAATCTTCGAAGTATTTTTAAATATTTTTGAAAAATTTTTTTGGAAAGAAATTCATACGTAGACAAATATAAATATCAAAGTTGATGTCAATGTTGTAATGAACTCAAATAAATCACTACACAAAATGTGATTATTAATGGGTTATTTTCAGTATTTTGCACATGTCTGTGCAAAACATGTGGTGTGGTTAGCTTGCCTTTAAGCTGGCATGTTGCACACAGAATTAACCTCTGAACAAACCATAAAGCTTTCACACACAATTCAATGATTTAAGATGACTGAAAGCTTTCTTGTCATATGCTGGGGCATGTTGCAGTACCATGTTATGGCTGGATTCCTTATCTGGCTTTACAGTGAAACCAAACAATGCACCCTCCAATCTGCACGAATCAGGCTTGTGTGAAAAACATAATCCCTTCCCTCTGAAAACAGAACTGTAGTCAGGTACAACTGGAAGCAATAGCTTGTGTTAAGGAATTCAACATTGGAATGACTGAATTCAATAAAAAAAAAACAAAAGTTGTTTGCTGCAAAACATTTTTATTCCTATTATTAAATGAGCTGCAAAGTGTTCCCATTTTTAACTAGGAGTACATTCTGCTGCCAAAGCAGACCATACAGACATCACTGGGAAAAACCTCTATATAAAACACATCGGCCATCCTTCACATTTTCAACTGACAGGTCTTCTCCATGAGGTTAACGTTAAATTAACTGGGCCAGAAAATGAACAGAACGTTCAGATTTTTGTCTTTGCATATAATGCATACTCTGACAATAATTCCCTTGTAACATCTTTTTACCAAATTTAAGCCATTTTCACAACAATGGTGGCAAAGTACCACCACTGCAATACTGTCACTGGTCACCAGCATTGCATTCACACCACCAACCAACGGTGTAAGAATTCCGCCAAGTTAGCATTATGCAGGAATTGGGTCTGGATTATAGATGCTTGTGAATTATATGCAAAGGGAACAGTAACATGCCCACAATTCTCATAACTGCTCATGCTACATGTCACATGGTTAAGCACTTTGATCATGTCTCCTGATATGCAATAAACCGGTGTTTCAATATCTGCCAGTTTTCAACACAGAAGGTTAATGAATATCAAATGATTAGAAGCAAGTTGATTATATTTACCCATGCAGGGGGGGAGGGTAGGGGCAAGAAAACCAGTAAAATGTTAGGAGGCTTGATAGTACTCAAACCAAGTAAGAGAAAGAAAAACAAATGTTATTGCACTTGAGTCTCAGTCAGTGAGTTACATCTGCTGGGTGGAGTTGCCATTCCAAGTATTGTTATCATCCTCGCTGTCTTCCTGTGTCCGTAGCCTGCAGATGTTGCCATCTCTCTTAAAGTCCTCAGGTCGCTTTTCTGGAACTCGTTTACGAATAGATTCTCTGAAAGTTTAATTAAGACACAGTCCCGAGGAAGTTTCAGTTTGAGTTGTCACCCATTTTCAAACTTCTTTAACCAGAAATACAGCACAAGTCATTTGGTTATCACAGATTTAAAATCCCAAAACTTACTTCAATACCTAAGGCATATAACTGCTCAGGCAGTTACCCAATCAGAGACCTACAGCCCTACTGGCCAGCTGGCTCAGCAACAAAGAGGACCTACCTCTTTGGTTCGCTGGATGAGGAAGAGGTAGGACCAGAGCGCTGGGGTGGAACTGTGGGAGAGGTGCCAGAAGGTGGAGCACTGCCAAAAAGGAAGCTGCTGATGAACCTCCACACAGCCAGCAGTGGGCAAAAGAGAGACCCCAGCAATGCCCAGATGCCCCCTCCTCCCGAAGACTGCACCACAGCGTTGGAGGGCCGTCCTGTCTGCTGCAGGGCCAATCACGGAGTAGTCACACGGCATGCATCAGAATCAAAACAAGAGCAAGAAAAGACATTACACAGGAACTGGGACTATTTTACAGGTTCCTCTTATCTTTTGTCTTCTAGTATTAAAGCAAAGGATCTGTAAAGATTTTGAGGAAGCCACCAAGATAGTGTCAAATAGTGTGTTAATGAGTTAGTGAGGGTCTCTACTGTGTTATTAGGCTGCTCATTGACAGCTACAGCACAACACTTGAAAAACCTTTAGGGTACACCCATGAAAAAATGAAACCCAGAGAAAACATTTAGTTGGGTGTGAAAGCCATGTATTCTTAAATCTGCATTCTGAGCGTCACCACACCGCCACTGGACACAACTGAGAGAACTGTCAATAGGTTCACCTTTTTAATGTGTCAGAGCCAGAATAAGCACTGAGGGTGTGCACTGAGGACTACGTGTAGGTGCAGGAGGTGGAAACTCACAGGAAGCAGTACGATGGAAGCACTGGGAACCAGCTCCAGCTCCAGCAGGGTCCTCTCTAGGTCCTCCCCTGTGAACTCCCTCCTGGGGAACATGGTCGCCAGAGCAAAGTGGCCATACCTGTTTCCCACTTCCTGTGAGGAGAAATCGGTACCCTTTTTTAACATAAAGGAACACTTTGAGAGACAAAAACCCAAAACTAGCAACCATTAACTTCTGCTGTCACTGATTAGTGAGTGATAAACCACCTAGATAAAAATAAATGTAGATAAGTTTAAGAAATTTAAATCAGAAATTTGAAGACATTTTGACATGTGGATCAGCCTATTCTATCATTCTAGCTTTGACCTGTGGAAGACATGAGTGAAAGTGCAATAACCCACGCTTCACAGAATTCAATTTGTCTTCAACAAACTTTGTGCTGTTATCAAGTTTTTACAGCCATCCCTTCAATTATTTATTGTTCAGAGCGAAGTACCAACAGGGTCCTCATTTACAATGGTATGGCAGAAGGAGACAGAGCAATAATCATAGCGGTCTGTGCCTTGCTGAAAGATGTTCAGGTAATAGTACTCTCCTGTAACGTGAATGGCCAGTGAGACTCAAAAGGTAGAAATGAGTAACAGCCAGGCATGAGTGAGAGGGAACAGAGACAAACCTGAGCTGCAAACTGCCAGGCCTCCTGGAGTTTGGCTTCTGAAGGGAACTGGTTGGTGAAGGAGGAGCCATCGGGGAGACGGAACTGTATTCTCGCTATCGCACTGCAGTAACAACACACAGGGCTAAGCACAGGCCCAATTAACACAAACCGATCGCACTTCAATGTGCTGATACACCGGGGTCAAAAACACCACCAATATAGCAGCGGAGTCTGTAAGTCAATCTGTGGTTAATAATGCTAACCACTAAATTTAGTGCAGGTGCGCAGCCATCTGTTTCTCAGATCTCCTCTTTCACTTTCTGAAATGAGGCAATTTTTAAATACAAACAGCTCTCAGTACTGTCTATGAAAGGTTTTTTTAACGCTGCAGTAATCATAATTAAAGGGCCAGCTAATTACAACAACGTAATCTTGTATGGTTAATAGACACAGAGGCAAAGCCCTGTCACTAACAGCAGATCTAAAATCTAACAATTTCTTCCTTGTTCCTTAGGCATGTTTCATCCAAGTTGGTCCATAAGCATTTAAGTTGTTGTCCAGAGAAAGAAACAAGCAGAAAACAGCCAAAAACAGAGGGCTGCACACTACATCCACTCCACGCAGTGGTGGAAGAGGTAAAAACAGCATGCAGTGGTGTTAGGATGCTGAGGCTGCTGTAACGGGTTGGATCACTGAGGTCTGTGGTGACAGAGCTGCGTACCTCCTCTCTCTCGGCGACGTCTCCTTCCTGGCCGCCTGCTCCGCCCGCTGGGACTCCAGCGCCGCCGGCTTGGCCGCTTCCACCTCCTCCTGGTTCCTGCCATATCGGGACGCCCTGTCTGCCCGGTCCTGTGGGAAACAGACCCGCGTTGTTAACGTCACTCACCACCCGAGTCACTCCCCGCTGACACACGAAATGGAGGCCCCATTACGCAACTCAGGCCTCTATAAACAGAAGTACAGTATAGTGTTTACAGAACTAGTCTTGTGACAAGACCGCTGGGGATACATTACATTTCACATTGTTGGTATTTCGCAGATTCGCTTATCCAGAGCGACTTAAATTGGTTACAGTTTTTTATTCACTGAGGCAACTGTGAGTTAAGTACCTTGCCCGAGGGTACAGCAGCAGTGCAACAGTGGGGAATTGAACCAGCAACCTTTGGGTTATGAGCCCTGTTTCTTAACCACTGGGCTACACTGCCACTCCAGTGCATACCCAGATACCCAGGCAGGTCCCTACTGCATTTGAGCTGGACTATTGCATTATACAAATGATCAGTTATTCATCATACAGGAGTAGCATAGAAATGTCTCCATCTATGAGGATCACATAAAGACACCTGCAAAGCAAATAAATTACAGTAATAATGACTGTGTCATTACTGGGTTCTGCATAAAGATGTCAGCTGAGAAAACAAATAAGAACAACAACAGTGACTGTGTTAGCAGACTGAGTTGGACAGATCTTGCCCCGACCGGCATCCCTGTCTCCCAGCCTGGACTGATCCTCACCATGGCAATCTGCTGTCTGACACGTTCCCTCGCCGCCTTCTCTTCAGCCTTCTCCCGGTTCCTCTCCTCCAGCATGCGCTTGGTTCTCTCCTCCTCCTGCTTCCTCTTGTAGTGCAGCATGTCCTTCCCCAGCTTCCTGCGCTCCACCTCTTTCCTTACCCCATTCTGCGCAGGGACGGCAAACACCTACTTAGACACGGCTGTGCATCTGAAAATTACACTGTGTCTGAACTGGAGTAACATCCCTTATCGGTTTCTCATACTGTTAGGTTCACCTTATTCAATTACACCTTGAGAACACAAAACATTTACACAAAAACAGGAAAAAAACAGGAAAGCTATTTGCACCTAATGAAATACAAATTTTATGGTTTTTCTCACACTTGATGTTTGTAACATTAATAAAAATTACATTTTGTGCAGGTTTCTGGTTGTCTAGTTAACAGTGCTCAAAGATGCCATTCTGAAATGACGAATATTAGTGTGAACATGCCATATTGCCATAACATATTCTTATTAACCGGATCTAAATGAACCACATGCTGCCAGGGGTTTGCCTGTCTGGGGGGAATCACCTCTTCCTCTTCTCTTCTCTTCTGCTCCTGTCGCTCTTCAAGTTTCTTTGTCAACCTGGAAGGAGTTTGAGGAAAATTGAGACTTTCATAAATGCTGCCTGTCAGTAATAGAACATTCCAGAAACTTTTCCTTCCAAACCCACCTCTCCACCTTGGCAGCGAGACTCTCGTCCGACTGGGAGCTTAGGGACACGTCATCCGACGACACACTCCTGTCCTCACCTGGAGTCACGTGACCTGAGGCTCCGCCTTCCTCCACAGATGTGGACAGGGATTCTGGGAAAATAGCAGAAGGAAGACGTTTTGGATAAAGCCTTCTAGAGCATTTACAGAGCTATGAACCCTCTGGGAAAATGCTGTGATGTGGAAAAATAGCCAGGCCGCTATAGACCCACCACAAAGGAGGTAGAAATGTTTTTACAACAATCTGATCAGTAGACAAACATAATTAAGACAGTTAGCTTGGTTAAAATGAGCAGAACAGAATTAGGCATGTTTATCAATGGGTACAAGTGGCTGTGCTCTACTAATACACCTACCTTTGGGAGCGGCCGATGATGCAGTGCTCTGATCAGCAGTGCTAGGTGGCAGTGTGAGGCCTGGCTGGCCGTTCGGAGGGAGACAGACCTGCTGCACGGCCGGCTCTGGGGTGCTGGAGGGTGTGGAGGATGCGTCTGTCTGCGCCCCTGTCCCTGCCACGCCCAAACCCCCATCTGGTACCCCCATCTGCTGGGCATGCATCTGCCAAAAACAGACACAGCCCGTCTAGGTCACTGAGGGTCACAGGAAGCCTATCGCATTGCCCTGCTCCATAAGGACAACCTAAAGGGCCACTCTCAGTCAAAAAAATATACCTCTTCAGGGAATTTAAAATCAATTTCAATCAAAGTCCATTTGGATATTAAGGGTTATTAATAACTGTAAGGTTCAGACTCAGTTACTTTATATGGATGACCACACAATCTGCATGTTGCTCCAGTACACACAGGCTTGTGAGCATTCCTGTTCTCACTGCTTGGATACGAGCCCTCTCAGGCTGGTCAGTGGAGTCTGAGAGCTGAAAAAGAGATGCACCCATTCTGGATCGCACCTGTTTGGCTTTGGCGATGCGCTTCACCAGCTCCTCTGCAGAGATGCTGCCAGCGATCACCTCGAGGGGGATCCCATTCTCACCTATGAAGAAACTGGATGGGACGCAGACCACAGGATCTTTTCACAATGCATTAAGGGAAATTAAACAGGATGAGCACTAAGACTCTTGTGAATGATATTGGGAGGGGGACTCCATCAGCATTCTGAACTAAAGTAGAGAAGTCAAGGTTTTCTCTTCTGTCCCTTAACCACAGAGGGTTAATCACTCTTTCAACCAGTCGTAGTGACAAAGCATTGCACCCTACCTCTCAGCTCCAGCACCGAAAAAAGGATACAGATCTGAGAAAACTGCACACACGTTTCACTGCAAGAAAGACAACCAACCATCAATTTCAAAAGTATCCTTGCAGTGAGCAATGAAATACACTTCTACTACCTATTCATAACCATCGTAGCCAGAAAAAAACGAAACATAAATCATAGCTACGGACACTTACTATTTAGTTAAAGTCATGTTTAATAGCCTCTTTCCACAAATCACTAAAAATGCGCCACTTTGAATAAATCACTGTACACCTCTTACCTCTTGGCATCTATTTTTATGGCTACACAACAGCGGCTCGCGGTCTCGGCCACTCTGTCATCTTCCCAACCTGACATCAGTTGTTCGGACTGCTCGTCGTCTCCTGAAAGACAGTGTCCGGAAGCACGGTGTTGTTCACAGCGCTGTTAAAACTGGCGGACAGGTTGCTTAATTCCAAAGTTTCCCCTATCGCATGTCTGCTTCTTGGTATGGATGATCTGGATACAGTTTGCACATCTATCGTCGTTTACCCCTGACAACGGAGAATGTCATCAGAGAGGGACTTTCGAGAAAATCACGAGGACTTTTAACTAACCAACTATTAACTTATCATAACATGGTAGCTATATAGCTAGCTAGTTAAATTATAATCATTGCAAACAATTACCAAGTCCACACATTTTTGGGGAATATTTTCATAAATAGGCTACCCTTTCATGCACATTACAAAATTACGCATTATAGAAACAGATAGTCTAGTTAACTAGCTAGCTATCTTGGTATTCAAATGCTCCACAGCTAGAATGTATCTAGGCAGCTACATACACAATGATGACTGAGCTCATTTTAAGATGGGCCTTTTTTGATTAATACTCGTCAGCTAACATGCTGCTCATGCTAGTATTAGCTGTCCAGCTAGTTGGCTAACGTCAGCTGTCACAGCTAGCAAACTGGCTAGCTACTCAACACTTGCCACAGTCTCTTTTAACTGTTGCTAGCTAGCTAGGTGAACGTTACCTGTAATAACGACGACGAAGATGGCTTTCTGCTGTTTGGCTGAGACGATGGCAGCAGGAATTGTGCCCTCAAACCAAAGCATTTTTCCTAAATAAGTCCCCACTACTGAGCTGAATTTCTCTTTTCACATCGATGTTGACTGGAAGCGTCAACCTCACAAGATTAGTACACGTAAGTGAAGCCGACAAATTTTGCTCGCATGACTTATAAACTTCCGGTTTCCAGTTCGTCAAAATAAAAGTACTTTCCGTATCTGTGCAGTAGTTTGAAATTGTGTTCATCTTTTCAGGTTTTAAATTATTCCGTGAATTCATCTAGCATTATTTGCTATATTTATGAATCATCATGCTATTTAAAACGATGAAGTTCAGCAAAATTTGTATCTAAATGGTAGACAACTTTATTTATGGGGAAAAACAAAAAGTCTGCCTGCCCAAACTTACAGTAAACGTCTCACATGCATTTCTTCTTGTGGAAATTAATTTAGTAATTTTATTTATTTATTTGCAGTTCAAAAATGGAAAAACTAAAAATGACAATTTTACAATGGTAAAATGTGTTAGAGACTTTTACATCTCATTTTCGTGAATAGATAAATGATACTTTGTATATTCATGAATTATGCACAGATTTACAAGTATTAAGGATGCTTTCCTCTTTTCAAAGCCCAAAATAACATCAAATACTTTTAAATGGAATATAATTTAAACAAGCTACCATGCAGCTTTGAGAGAAAATGATAATTACGCTGATGAGGCTTTGTATTTTTGAACAAAACAAAAAAACTAGATGCTTGATTTTGTTTTTCTCAGGTGCAATCTGAAAAAAAAAAACTCGGGAATACTTGCAAAGCACTTTGTGATAATCTGAATTGTAAAAATGCGCTACAGCACATAAAATTCATTTGAAAATAAACTTAAAATCCTCTTACCATAAAGGGATGACAAATGGAGGATTTCTACAACATCAGAGGAGCATCTGAAAGAGATGGAGAAAATGTCAGGATGGGGAAACAATATTTTCAGTGATACATTATAGTTTAATCCTATTAATATTACCCATGTTGTATATACTTTAAAAGTGGTCCCGTCCTGTAATGTCCCTTTATGTGTTATATGTTGCAACTTGTGTGCCTGTGTGATGCTGTCTTGGTCAGGTCTCTCTTGAAAAGAGATTCTCAAATCTCAGTGGGACTGACTGGTTATATTAAATAAAATAAATGAATAAATATAACCAACTGTGCACAATTCACTGTCCGAAAAGGCCCTGATTCAAATAATTCAAACTGTTATGATGACAACTGGTTCGATACCACAAATAGAGACAGCATGGATGACTGGCTGCTGTCCCTTTAAAAGCACTTCATATTTATGTAAATCGTGTTCAGGTTTTTCATTTTATCAGTAATCTGGGGATTTTCCAGTTCACAGGCTGCAACCCTAAAATTCCCTATAGTGTGAATTGGTGCACCAGCCGGCCAGTGAGGAAAGCAGGTAGTGACTGTATTTGACCAGAAGATGGCACTACACACCTAATTATGATTTATTTCTCAAGAGCCAATGTAATGTGCTTTTCTGTTAAATATCTTGCCTATATGTTATATTAGTAGGAAGAATAATAACATACAACATTCTATGTTTCCTGGAGAGGGAAAGCATCATTTTTGTCATTTGAGTTCAATAGGAAATGCTACAACTTGACA